TGAGAATCTTGAGCGCATCAGCATGCGAATGATGTCTTCAAAGGCTAAGGCTTCATTCACTAAAGGAGTTGTGTTTTGATTGATGGGTGAACTTCTATGGTTATTGGAGCAAGAGGGGGTGTTGGAATTATGGTTAATTTGGGTTCCTCCAATAAACATATGTAGTGCTAGATCTACACTATAGTAGTGTAGAATACATTGGTTGGGTTGGGAGAACTTGTGGTGTACACTCTTTAGAGTGGACCATCCAAACCCTATAGGTTAGGGTTCTCTCTTGTTGGGACTTCTTGGAAAATCCCTTTGGTTCTAGCATGGTTCATGCCCAAGTTGGCTCCTAAGATTCCTAGGCTTTAGGAGGAGGTTTCAAGACTACTATAGCTTCCGCTAGTAGCTTAGACCAATCTAACAGTGTGGCCCAAAACCAATATGAGGGCCTCATTGGAGAAGTAAAAAGGCTCGCACATCTCCCCTGTCCTTATAATGCCAACTTTCCAGTCTATTGTGCCTCCCGTTGCCACCCATTCTCCGCCCCGCTGTCGCTCCTGAGTGTGGTGGAGCAGTCATAGCAATATAATAACCAAGCCTCTTTCTGCTCTAGTTGTCTAATTCACTCACCATTCATCTTGCTTAATCCTTTGACTTCCCCACACCCAGGGCTGTCGTTTCAAATTTAGGCTCTCTAATTCCAACCCCCAATTTTTCTTTCCACTCTGAAGGCAATTCGGCTAGAAATCAGGCACTCTGATTGGTCAGTGTTCTGAAGTCAGAGTGTCTGACCAGTCAGTGTCGGTGGGTCCGTATCAGGATTAGTCCTCTCCTCGTGCACACCGTTGCCCAGAATATGTTGGTCGCATTCTGGTGTGTACCTCGCAGATCGCGCTTGCAATGATGCCAAACAATTTACTGTAGGCGAGCTTCCATGCAGCTGAGCTGGCAGCATGTAGCATGCGAGAACCTGTTTGGCAGCAGCAGACACTTCCAACCCATCTGCACCTGGTGTGCGTGAAATGCTTCTCCCCGAATTAGAACTACTATGACTTTCAGACATTCTGTCGTAGAGAGAAGACACGAATTCAGCACAAAAATGTGATAAATTTCATTCAGTGTTGTTTTCTCTCCAGCCTATTCCCTATCCGATTCATCGCTTCGTCGCGCGATCCGCACAAAATCAATCTTTTCTTGAAACTTCACAATTCAATTGTTACCCTCAAGACGCAACCATTTGACTCTCGTAACACGACATAACATTGAGTGTACTCGGGTGGCCCTCACCTGGTGCAGTGTTTTTCTCACGTTCTAGCACTGCGCTGCCACCTCGGAGGTGTATATCGAAAGTTTCCTGGAACATTCGTTAAGATAAACTCGAATTCAGGGCCCACAGACTCGATACTCGGTTAAGACAGGGTTCACTAACCGATCAGTTTGACATACTGTACACAGAAACAAGGATAAAAAAAATACTACTCTGAGTCAATTAGGGTTAAAAAATCACTTAGTATGAATGTCAGAACATTGTGCTGTGTAGGCTGTAGTGGGGTAGCCAATATGGGGTACAACCCAGTTAGGGTTAGTACTTGTACCAGACTCATTGCTAGTTCATTCATTCCTGCTGCTAGATTCTGACATGGTTTCAGAGCAGGTCCTGTTCCATGATCGTCTTTTTTTAGGGCCCACCGTACAGTTCCCTGCCCGTAGCGCGTTACCCTGCTCGTAGCGCCCTACCCTGCCCGTCGCGCTGCCCCACCAGTCGCGCTGCCCTGCCCGCGTGCCGCCCTGCTCGCTACCGCGCTGCCTTGCCCTGCCCGTCGCGTCGCCCGTGCTGGCTGTCCCAACTCGCCGCGTCGCCCGTACGCCCTGCCCTGCCCGTCGCGTCGCCCGTACGGGCTACCCCAGCCCGCCGCGTCACCCGTACGCCCTGCCCTGCCCGTCGCGTCGCCCGTACAGGCTACCCCAACATGCCGCGTCGCCCATACGCCCTGCCCCTGCCCGTCGCGTCGCCCGTGCGGGCTGCCCCAGCCCGCCACGTCGCTCGTACGCCCTGCCCCTGCCTATCGCGTCGCCCGTGCGGGCTGCCCCAGCCCGCCACATCGCCCGTACGCTCTGCCCCTGCGTGTCGCATCGCCCTGCTGGCCGCGCGCCACCCTGTGCAGCCCGCGCACTGCCCTTTTCTGCCCACGCGCCGCCTTGGCAGCCTGCGCGCCGCCCTTGCAGCCCGGGCGTTGCCCTTTCCAGCCCGCGCACTGCCTCTTGCCTGCTCACGCGCCCTCCCCATCCCGACCGCCGCCCTACTTGCAGCGCGCCGCCCTACTCTGGCCGCGCACCGCACTTCCCTGACCGTGCGCCGCCCCGCCCTACCCTACACACTACCCTAGTGCCTGTTCGTCGCTCTGCCTTCCCTGCGTGCTGCCCTGCTGGTCGCACGCCTCCTTGCTTTGCCCGCTATGACTTCTCTTCGTGGTAGCGGTGGGAGTGGTGGCGACCGTGGTGACAACAGTGGGAGTGGTGGCGGCGGCCGTAGTGGCAGTCATGGTGGCGCTGTTCAGTGGGGAGTTTCTGGCGGTGGCCAGATGCAGCTGCGACGGCTTCCGCGCGTGGCCCGTACGTCCCAGCAGCTCCGTGAGTGGTACGCTCAGCGTTGTGCGTCTCGGAGTACTGCTCGCTGCCCGTACGTCATTTGCACAGGTGCTCGTGCAGGTCAGACTTGCGGGACACCTGGCCACACACAGTCCCACTGCTTAGCCTGCCTGAGCGACTCTTGGCGCGCAGTGTTTGGCAACAAGGCTGAGCTCCCCCGGGACAAAGTGGATATATTTGCTCTAGACTATGACGCTATCCTTACTGCCATGTATGCTTTGACTGTTGGTACTAAGGGTGACTGTTCCCTGTGTGTGTCGCCCGACCCTGGTATAAAGGCTGTTGCTCTAGGTGCTAGTGAGTCTGCTCTCTCTAGTACTGCGCCTGCTGAGGCCTTGTACACCTTCACGCTTGACTCAGGTGCTTCTCGCTGCTTCTTTCACGACAGTACCACAGTCACACCACTCCCCAGACCAGTTGCAGTTTCACTGGCTGACCCCTCTGGGGGCCCAGTTCTTGCACGTTCCTCCACTGTTCTCCCGTGTCCGGCGGTTCCGTCCGGCTCACTGTCAGGTCTCCACCTCCCCTCGTTCTCGACGGACTAGGTGAGTAACGCGGTTCTTCAGGATGCAGGGGTTGATTCCTTTACCCCTAAAGGCCAGCGTGTGGCGATCTGCACGTGCTCCCGGACTGGCCGTCACCTGGCCACGTTCACCCGTCGGCCTGGGTCGAGTCTGTACACACTGACTACTGCGCCTCCTTAGGTCGCTGCATTTGGTCAGGTGTCCGCGTCAGGTCAGGTAGCCGCCTCGTGCTCGTGTCGCCTCCTGTTGCACCAATGACACTCTCCTGTGGCACCACCGCCTTGGTCACCCCTCCCTGCCACGCCTTCGTGGCATGCACTCCCGCCTTCTTGTCTCTGGTCTTCCCAGTTCTCTCCCTCCCCTCCCACCCTCGCCTGCCCCGCCCTGCATTCCTTGCATCGAGGGGCGGCAGCGCGCCGCTCCTCACTCCTCCTCGTTTCCCTCGACGACTGCGCCCCTGCAGACTCTCCTCAAGGACGTGTGGGGCCCAGCCCGCATCACTGCATAGGGCTGCGAGCGGTACTTTCTGCTGGTTGTCGACGACTACTCGCATTACACCACGGTCTTCCCCTTGCGCACCAAGGGTGACGTCCCTGATGTCTTGATCCCTTGGATCTGCGCTGTTCGTCTCCAGCTCCGCGAGCGGTTCCGCACGGACCTTCCCGTCCTGCGTCTGCACTCTTACAGAGGTGGTGAGTTCTCCTCCGACCTCTTGCGGGATTTTTGTCAGCAGAAGGGCATCCTCTAGTCGTTCGTTCACACTTCCGGCCTCCCCGCAGCAGAATGGGATTGCTGAGTGCCGCATTGGCTTAGTCATGGAGGTGGCTCGTACCTCTATGATCCATGCGGCTGCTCCCCATTTTCTGTGGTCGTTTGCGGTCCGGTACACTGCGCATCAGCTCAACCTCTGGCCCTGTGTCTCCTTGCCGGAGACCTCGCCTACACTGCGTTGGACGGGGGAGGTTGGCGATGCGTCGGTGTTCCGGGTCTGGGGCTCTCGTGCCTTTGTCCGCGATACCACCGCGGACAAGCTCTCCTCTCGCGCCGTCCCCTGCTTCTTCCTTGGTTTTCCTCCTGACGCGCCTGGCTGGCAGTTTTACCACCCCACCTCGCGCTATGTTCTGTCCTCTCAGGACGTCACGTTTGACGAGTCAGTTCCCTTTTACCGTCTCTTCCCCTACCGCACTGCCCCTCTCCCCCCCCCGCCGCTCTTCCTCGCTCCAGGTCCCCCTCCGATAGACCCCCTCCCCCCTCAGGGTCCTGCTCCTTCAGGTGTGTCTCAGGTAGACCCACTTCCCTTGGCTGAGCCTGTCGAGGTCACTAGTGACTCTGGTTCTACTGGGGGTGGTGCTGCTCGGGGTACTGCGTCTACGGGTGCTGAGCCTGAGCGTGCGGAGCCTGGGGGTGCTGAGCCTGAGCGTGTGGAGCTTGGGGGTGCTGAGCCTGTGGTAGCGGAGTCTGGGGGTGCTGAGCCTGCGGGTGCGGAGCCTGGGGGTGCTGAGTCTGGGGGTGCTGAGCCTAGGGGTACTGCGTCTACACTACGGGAGCCTCTCTCACCACAGCAGCTGCGCGAGTGGTACGCTCGGCGCACCCGCCTTCGGAGTGGCGCTGCTGGAGCTGGAGGCCCTGGAGCTGCTAGTCCTGGAGGTGCTGGAGGTACTGCTGGTACTGGAGGTACTGGGGGTGCTGGAGCTCCCAAACCTGGAGGTCCTACCGGTGCCTTGCCGCAGCAGTCTAACCGGCGGGAGCCTCTCTCACCTCAGCAGCTGCGCAAGTGGTACGCTCGGTGTACCCGCCTTCGGAGTGGCGCTGCTGGAGCTGGAGGCTCTGCCGCTGGAGGCGATGACACTGGAGGCATTGGAGGTGCTGGAGGCGCTGGAGCTGGAGGTACTGGGGGTACTGGTGTTACTGGTCCTGGCGGTCCTGCAGGTGACTCGCCACCGCAGTCTAGTCGGCGAGAGCCTCTCTCACCACAGCAGCTGCGTGAGTCGTTTTCTCGACGCACCCTTCTTCGGAGTGGCACTGCTGGAGCTGGAGGCCCTGCCGTTGGAGGCACTGGAGCTGGAGGAGCTGGAGCTGGTGACCCGGGAGCAAGAGGTGCTGGAGTTGGAGGCTCTGGAGCTGGAGCAGCTGGTTCTGGAGGTGCTCGTACTGGAGGTACTTGAGCTGTCGGAGCTGGTGGTGCTGGTGGTGCTGGTGGTGCTGGCACTGCTGGTCCCGGAGGTGCTCGTACTGGGGGTGCTGGAGCTGCCGGAGCTGGTGGTCCTTCGGACTTTGGAGCTGGAGGCACTGGAGCTAGAGGAGCTGGAGATGGTGACATGGGAGTTGGAGGCGCTGGAGCTGGAGGCTCTGGAGCTGGAGCTGCTGGTCCTGGAGGTGCTCGTACTGGAGGTACTGGAGCTGCCGGAGCTGGTGGTGCTGGTGGTGCTGGTGGTGCTGGCACTGCTGGTCCCGGAGGTGCTCGTACTAGGGGTGCTGGAGCTGCCGGAGCTGGTGGTGCTAAGGACTCTGGAGCTGGAGGCACTGGAGCTGGAGGAGCTCGAGCTGGTGACCCGAGAGCTGGAGCAGGAGGTGCTGGAGCTGGGGGTTCTAGAGCGGCTGGTACTGGAGCCGCAAGAGCCGTCGAGGGTGAGTGTGCTCTTGCGGCTGCTGTACCCCATCTCGTGGCCATGCTGCTTGCACCTGAGGGAGACCCGGATGCACTGGACATCCCGACCCCGCGCTCTTACGCAGAGGCGATCACGGGTCCCTACTCCTCTCAGTGACAGACAGCCATGGACGTAGAGATGGCATCTTCGGGTGCTGCTGCACGTTGCCGCTCAGCGTGAATACGAGCTTCACTCTCTTGACTTCAGCACAGCTTTCTTACAGGGCAACCTGCACGAGGAGATCTGGTTGCGCCGCCCACCTGGCTTCACTGGGTCGTTTCCTGAGGGTACCTAGTGGAGCCTCCGGCGGCCAGTCTACGGTCTCTGCCAGGCGCCTCGTGAATGGCACGACACACTGAGGACGACACTTACGGCTCTTGGGTTTGCTCCTTCGAGTGCTGACCCGTGGCTATTTCTGCGCACAGACACTTCACTGCCGCCGTTCTACATCCTCGTGTACGTCGACGACTTGGTCTTTGCCACTGCTGACATTGAGGCACTGGCCCTTGTGAAGTCGGAGCTGCAGAAGAGACACACGTGCACAGACTTGGGTGAGCTGCGCAGTTATCTTGGCTTGCAGATCACCCGGGACAGAGCATGGCGCACCATCACCTTGACTCAGTCACACATGGTGTAGCAGGTCCTTCAGCGCTTCGGCTTCCAGTTCTCCTCACCACAGTCCACTCCTCTGGCTACCGGTCACTCGTTCTCAGCTCCACCTTCGGACGAGTCCGTAGAACCGAGTGGCCCGTATCCAGAGCTTTTGGGCTGCCTCATGTACCTGATGACCTGCACACGACCTGACCTTGCGTACCCTCTTAGCATCCTGGCTCGCTACGTTGCACCTGGGAGACACAGGCGAGAGCACTGGGAGGCTGCTAAGAGGGTGTTGCGTTATTTTTGCAGTACATCGGGCATGGGGCTGGTGCTTGGAGGACGGGGTCGAGTTGTCCTCACTGGTCACGCAGACGCGTCTTGGGTTGACGACCTGGCTACGCAGCGGTCGTTACAGGGTTACACCTTCAGCCTTGGTTCAGGCTCTGGTTCTTTGCAGTTTACCCGCTCGGCTTCTGCTCTCAGCTCCAGCTGTGAGGCTGAGATCTACGCAGGAGCCATGGCTGCACAGGAGTTACGTTGGCTCACCTACCTACTGACTGACTTGGGAGAGCGGCCTAGTTCTCCTCCAGTTCTGTGCGTCGACAACAAGGCCGCTATCGCCTTGTGTCAGGAGCACAGACAGGAGCACAGAACGAAGCACATTGCTCTGCGTTACTTCCTTGCTCGAGAGTTGCAGCAGTGTGGCCAGCTTCGTCTTGCTTACGTGGCCACCCGGGCCAACACAGCTGATATATTCACCAAGGCACTTCCGCTTGGTGATCATCAGCGTTTCCGTATTCCTTTAGGCCTCATGCCAACGTTCTCTCACTTGCTGACTGCGTGAGTTGGTTTGTACTGTGATCTATCGATACTTGCATGCTTACACTTGCTAGGTGGTGATCACTTTACTGGTTGCTATGTTTGATATAACTCTGCATGTGAACTGACCTTGTGGCCATTTGCTTGTGCTCGGAATGTGTGGTGACTTCGTGATCCACCGTCAGCTTGCTTTGCTTTTTCTGTGACTGCTTGTACTCCCCCACCTTGCCTATGGGGGTGTGTCAGAACATTGTGCTGTGTAGGCTGTAGTGGGGTAGCCAATATGGGGTACAACCCAGTTAGGGTTAGTACTTGTACCAAACTCATTGCTAGTTCATTCATTCCTGCTGCTAGATTCTGACACTGAAATGTCAGGGGACTGAAAGTCAAAGGTTTGATTCGTCAGACTAATCAGGCTATTTAGTCTGATAGTGTCAGCCTTGCCCACACCCCTCTCCTCCCTCTTCCCCCCCCCCCCCCCGCCATTCCTCCTTCCAGAGCGTGGTAGTGCAAGCAAGTTACAGCAATACAAGGACTGGACCTTCCTTTTCTCCAGTTGTAAACCCAACAATAATCATATTTCATTCTTGCTCTTCCACCCATCCTCCTCCCTCTCCTCCCCCCTATCTCTCCCTCTTAGAGCGTGATGTTGAGTGTTAACTTAGGAGGAATGAATGAACTAGGCAAGAGTGAGATACAAGTAGTAAACCCTAACTGGGGTTGTACTCTATACTGAGCACCCCATGTTGGGCTGAAAAAATGTCAAAGTATAAATGTGCTATATGTTTGTAGGCTGTAGTGGGGTAGCCAATATGGGGTACAACCCCAACTAGGGTTTCTAATTTGTACCCTTGCTTCTTTCAATCCAATCATTCTTGCCTCTTAGTTTTCACATGGTTTCACATGATTTTTTTTCCCGGGCCCACCGAACGCCTGCCTGACTGTGGTTACCGCGCTGCCCCACATGCGCCCTGCCTAGCCTGCCCGTCGCGCTGCCCCTAAGCCCGCGCTCGGCCCCTGCCTGCCCGTCGCGCTGCCCCTAAGCCCGCGCCCGGCCCCCTGCCTGCCCGTCGCGTCGCCCTAAGCCCGCGCCCGGCCCCCTGCTTGCTCGTCGCGTCGCCCTAGGCCCGCGCCCGGCCCCCTGCCTGTCCGTCGCGTCGCCCAAAGCCCGCGCCCGGCCCCCTGCCCACCGTCGCGCTGCCCCTAAGCCCGCGCCCGGCCCCTGCCTGCCCGTCGCGCTGCCCGTAAGCCCGCGCCCGGCCCCTGCCTGCCCGTCGCGTTGCCCCTAAGCCCGCGCTCGGCCCCCTGCCTACCGTCGCGCTGCCCCTAAGCCCGCGCCCTGCCCCCGCCTGCCCGTCGCACTGCCCCTAAGCCTGCGCTCGGCCCCCTGCCTACCGTCGCGCTGCCCCTAAGCTCGCGCCCGGTCCCTGCCTGCCCGTCGCACTACCCCTAAGCTTGCGCCCGGCCCTCTGCCTGCCCCTGCATCCTGCTTTACGCCTGCCTGCCTTGCGCTGCTGCCATGGCGACCATGAATATACTAGCTTTCGAACCTGACGGTCGCCCGATCGCATTTCCCACTTGGCTTGACGATCTGCAGCTTTTCCTTCTGACTGATGCCAAAGATGGTGTCTCGCTTTTCGACTACGCCTCTGGCACTGCCGCTGCTCCTGCTGACAGTGCTCCTGCTGTAGACCGCTCACATTGGCTGACTCGCGATGCTGCTGCGCGCCTTGCTATCCGCAACCATCTGCCGATCGCTGAGCGCGCGCATTTCAGTCAGCACAAAACTGCCAAGGCACTTTATGACGCAGTAGTTGCACGCTACTCCTCCCCAGCCACTGCCGCTGTAGGAGGCCTCATCCTGCCCTACCTGTTCCCTGACCTGTCCTCCTTCCCCACTGCTGCGGACTTGATTACTCACCTTCGCGATAGTGAGGCCCGCTTTAACGCCGCTCTTAAGGACGAGTTCCGTGCCAAGAACCCCCCTCCGCTCTACTTTACCCTCTACCTCCTCGTCACCCGCCTCCCTGACACCCTTAGCACAGTCAGGGACCACTTCCTCACCATTGACGCCCCCGAGATCACCCGAGACGACTTCGAGCGGCAGCTTCTCGCAGCAGAGAAGAATCTCCTAGCTGTCAGTGCCGCTCGAGGCACTCCCCGCACTCCCCTCTTTGAGGGGTGCTCCCCCTCCCCCCTCACCCCCTCGTACGCCTCGGTTGCTACTCCCGTTGACCTTCCTAGTACTGAGGAGGCCGCAGCTGCTTCCGCTCCTAGTGGGAAGCGCGGCGGGGGCCGGGGCGGCAAGGGGGGCAGGGGTGGCGGGCGTGGGGGTGGGGGGAGCGGTGGTGGGGGCGGTGGGGGTGGTGGGGGGGGTGGGGGTGGTCGTGAGGGTGGTGGAGGTGGCAGCGGCGGCAAGGGGGGAGGAGGCGGTGGTGGTGGGGGTGGTGGTGGAGGCGGGAGTGGGACCGGCCAGCAGCAGCAGCAGCAGCCGCAGCAACAGCAGCAGCAGCGCCAGACCCCCTCCTCTCAGCAGCTTCATGACTGGTATGCTGGGCGTGGGGCGTCTGGGGGTTCTGGTCGCTGCCCCTATGTCATTCTCACTGGCCCTCGCAAGGGCCGCACGTGCAACGGCCTTCACCCTGAGTCCCGTTGCTTTGCGCGCCTCAGCGACGCCTGGCGCGCCAAGTTCCCTGATGCCACTGAGTTCCCCAACTGGGCTGATCTGCTTAGGCGTGATGTCAATGTCTATGATCTTGACTATGATGCAATCCTTGCTGCCATGTATGCATTGATTGTTAGTGCTGAGGGTGACTGCTACTTGTGCGTTCCGCCTGACCCAGGTATAGAGACTGCAGCCCTAGGTGCTCGTGCGTCTGACCCCTCTGGTACTGCGTCCGCGCAGGCTTTGCACACGTTTACACTTGACTCTGGTGCTTCTCGCTGTTTCTTTCGCGACAGCACCGCAGTCACCCCCCTCCCTGCACCTGTTCCTGTCTCGCTGGCTGACCCCTCTGGGGGCCCAGTGCTTGCACGTGCCACGACTGTGCTTCCGTGCCCGGCGGTCCCGTCTGGTGAGCTGTCAGGTCTCCATGTTCCCTCGTTCTCTACGAACTTGGTGAGCAACGCCGTCCTTCAGGATCACTGGGTTGACACCTGGACTCCTGGAGGACAGCGTGTGGCGATCTGTACCTGCTCCAAGACTGGCCGCCACCTGGCCACGTTCACCCGTGAGCCGGGGTCCAGTCTTTACACTCTCACCACTGTTTCACGCTACACTCCTTTGTCTCCACAGCTGTACGCGTCTGCTCAGGTAGCCACCCAGTGTGAGTGCCGCCGCCTGTCCCACGACACTCTCCTGTGGCACCACCGCCTTGGTCACCCCTCCCTGCCTCGCCTGCGTGGCATGCACTCTCGCTGTCTGGTCTCTGGTCTTCCCAGGTCCCTGCCTGCACTCCCTCCCTCGCCTGCGCCGCCCTGCATTCCTTGCGTCGAGGGGTGGCAGCGCGCCGCTCCTCACTCCTCCTCGACGTGTGGGGCCCAGCCCGCGTCCAGGGTCAGGGCCGCGAGCGGTACTTTTTGCTGGTCGTCGACGACTACTCGCGCTACACCACGGTCTTCCCCTTGCGCAGCAAGGGGCAGGTCCCTGATGTTTTGATCCCCTGGATCCGCGCTGCTCGTCTCCAGCTTCGCGAGCGGTTCCAGGCGAACTTTCCTGTC